AGTTGAGGACGTTTTCCGTTCCTATTGCGCGGGCCTTTTGAGGTCTGAAAGTTTCGACCTCAAGTCCTGCGTAATCGAACCGGAGTCGGAGCCCAAGGCGGAGCCGGCTCCCAAGATGAAGCCACCCCCTCCATCTCTGTCGGCCAGTAAGGGCCTTCCTAGGCGATCGGCTCCTGCTGTACATACTGGGTCGGCTCACACCGCCAAGCGTCCGAGAGAGGCTGGCGGTGGCTCCACTGGGAGCGTGCAGATCCCAGGGCATTATTACGGCAAAGCCCGTACAAAGGAATCCCCTGTTCAACCCTCTGAACCGCCAATGGGCGGAGCAGGGGGGAGCGCGCAGCCATCCGCAATGGATGTGGATAAGGAGGGGAATAAGGGTGACGAGAAGAAGGACAAAGCGGCCAATGAGGCTGCTGTAGCGTCAAAGAGCGCAAAGCCGCATCCGGCGAAAGCGTCGCGTCCCGAGGCCCTAGGCGGCTCGTTGGACGTGACACTAATCAGCGACGTACGGGAGCGTGATCGGGATATTTCCGATGATGAGTTTTCCCCTACGAACGTGTGCATGTTTCCAGAATCATGGGAGGGCGCAATGCCGACCTCCGTGATTGACAAGGCCGGAGGCTTTGAGCAGTTTAGGAACGAGCTCATGAGGATCCAGAGAGTCCTGGATTCTCCGGCGTTGGTCGACCTTGGTAAGGTCGATCTGGACGCTCTGGGCGAGCCGCCCAAGGAGTACGTCTCGGATGAAGATCACGAGAGTTATGTAGACGATGATGGAATGGGTCCATATGTGGACAAATTCTCATCAATGGGTGACCGCGACCTAGTGCCCTCAAAGCAGGAGCCGCCTTACTATGAGGCAAAGGCGTGGCGCACCACTGAAGAAGAAATTGAAAGGATGAAGAACCTTTTTCCATTCTTTCGTGCCGAAAATTATCGGCTTATGTCTGCGAGTACTGGTCCTATAGGTACCAAGTCGCACGTACAGGGCGTCCTCCCAACAGGTGCGTCGTTGGAAGAGGCACTGATGGCTAAGCCCGGTGTGTGCCCGATTACGAGCACCTACAACCTCACATACGAGGGTGAAGAGGTTGTGATTGATGCACAGGGCGGGATAGCAGGCAGAATCGCCTGTCCTGCCGGAAATGACATCTTCCATTTTTTCCCCGAAATTAGGGATGTGTCGGCGTTTGTTGGACGAAGCTCCAGGGAATCGCAAATGCTGCTAGAAGTTTTGTCGGGCAACACTGACCCTACGCGGTTAAACGTGAAGCCCGGTGAGCAGCCTCCCTTCTTGTTTGGGACGGTTCCAGACATTCTGGGAGGTTGGATGTCAATGACTCTGATCTCAACGCTACTTGAGGCCCTATACGGGATCCACAAGTGCACGAGTGTCGAGGTAGCGACCTGGGCGGGTGCTCTCGCAAAGGAAAGCCCATCGTACCCTCCAGTCGAGCTCCTAATACGGAAAGTCTGGAGGACAGATGGCACGAGTGTGCGCCCGAATGAGGTGCTTTTTGCGCGGTCCACCCTAATCAGGAGGGACGTGCCATTCAAAGTTTTCAGCGTTGGGCACTGCGTGACCGAACGCCCATGGGGCCTTTGCTTAGGCCGATGGGAGCAGCAGAAGTCCCTTATACGGGATACGTGCTGCTGACGATGGCCGAGTATCGGTCCGCCCTCAAAACGAGGTGCATCCGGAGGCCTGGCAAATTCGCCATCACAGTTTTCCCCATGCGACCTGAGCAGGTCTGCAAGGGGGAGATCATGATTGGGATGGAGGGCGCAAAGGTGCCTTTCCTCAAGTTGCCCAGCCCCAATAGTGAGGGCGAATTTTATGTTGACGATCGCGTCAAGTACATGGACAAGCGCCATGTCGTTGTGGCCGTTGACCTAAAGTGGATGGCCATCGAGGAGGCCGCCGGCATCTACAAAACCCGACGCGGTTTGATCGCCGTGCGGGAAGAGATACATGCGCCATTCTGGCGCGCATGCTATCTGCATCAGGAAGGGGATGTAATATACATCCGCCCCTGGGCGGTCCGTGAGTTGAATGTTCAGGGACCGCGAAGAGGGGTGTCATTTTCATGGGACAATGCTCCCATGCATGACTACTGGTGCCCTCGGTGCGCGCATTTGAACATGTATGGCACCATTCTATGCAATGGTTGCCATCTGCCGATTTTCTATCGTGAATGGGTGCCAGGCACCGTCCGCGCTCTGGTTAAGCATGGACAGCCAATCTGGCTGAGCGAACTCAAAGCAGTTCGCCCCAGCAGCTGGCATGAGGGGGAGACCGACGCGTGGGCCCCTCTCATGGCATCGGTAAACCCGATCCGCGAGGTGGTCAGCTGTATGATCACCGGTTTGCGCTGTGCGCCGCATCTTGTGCACATTCCCAATGCGGACATTGTACAAGTTGCGTTTCAGGAGGTTGCAAAGGTAACCTCAAAGGACACTCACGCTTGTGTGCGGGCGAGTGATGAGGCTCTCGAGCGGTGGGTAGCGAAACAGCTGCTCATCGAGGAGAGCAACACTGGCGTCTCGATTCCCGACAATATGTCTGTCTTGGCATATTTGATCGAGCACCCGCAACAGGCGGCGCAATGGGGTCGTCATATGACGAGAAAGGGCAGTCTAAATTCAGCATTTGCCCTTTACCTCTCTGTGCATATCTTTGATGCCTACCGCATCGGGATTGAGGACGGGTATTTGGTTCCGCTGTATGGCCTAGGCGCCTCACGCGCGGACATCATAATGTCGTTGGTACAGGCTGAGCGACGCCTCACGGACTTCAATACTGAAGATCCGAGTTTCGACGCTTCCACCGTTCTTGATTGGAATATCGACTCTTTGCGGGCAAGTGGTGGATCCATCACGGCCCCAATTGAGTATGCTGAGGCATACATTTATGTCGAAGACAATAAGGTTGACATGGTCCCCGCTTCGCGGCGCGACGGCCAATGCGCCATTGTCTTTGCTGACCCGCCGGTTGGGAAGCACCACAGGCGGGCAGCCACTCCTAGGGGAGACCAACGGTCTGCTACCCCGCGACCTGAATCCAGGTCAAAGGGTGATCAACAAAAGGGCAAAGCCCCTGCACAATCCTGGCCCAAGGGCGGAGGTCACAAGGGTGACCAGTTCCCAGGAAAGGGTCACAAAGGTGATCAGTACAAAGGCAAGGGTGGCCAATACGGCTACCAACAAGGGCAGTTCGGTCGTGGCGGATCCGCCAGATCGAGAACTCCCACTGGCGGGTATCAGCCTGATGCTCGCGGGTCGGGATACAAGGGTGCTCAGGCAGCCCCTTTCCCGTTCCCAAGTCCGATGTACCCCGCTTTCCCAATGGGAGGGTACATGCAACAGCCAATGGCTGGCATGATGCCGCAAATGTGGCCTGGCACAATGCAGCAGGGTTGGCAGCCGCACATGCAGGGTGATCCACGCGAGTTCGAGAATCCGAACTCGCCGCATACCCCTACCTGGGGTGCGGATGATGAGTTGGCCGAGACCGTGCCTCCTCCTCCTGGGGACTGGAACGTCAACAAGGGGAGGGGACGGCACGGCGGCGGACGACATCGGTAATACCTGGTGTCCGTCTGCATCTTTTGCGTAGCGGCGCCAACGCGCGCGTGCTTTCATTCCGGAATTCACATAATGGACAATGCTCCCTGTAGTATTTCTATGTTTGGGCTATTCGCCATTCCAGAATTCAACTGCATGCGCAGCTGTGCGCTATTCGCGCTGGCAGCGATTACCTGTCAGGTGTGCGTCGCCGCAGCAAGGCAGTTACCCTCGCCGGTGTCTACGGCCGCTGGTTGTCAGCATCGTCCAGCACCGCTGCTGCTGCTGGAGATGGAACTCATCAAGGTGCTGCGGTGAGGACCACGGATGCGCTGCACCGCTGCCGGTGAAGTCCTACTCGGACCTGAACCGCTGATTGCAGCTGGTGGTGTTCCCACTGAAGGTCTTTGTGTGATCGCGCGCCTAGACGGTGCTATTTTAAAGACCAAGGTCTTGTGGTCAAAGCACCATGTTTCAACCAGTAGGCCAATGCGCCTAAATCATGAATTCAGGATATAAATCCACTCGAACCTTACGGTTCGATGTGGTTGCATTGCAAACGTAATTTTATTTCATGCCTGCCATTCTGGAGTTGAATCTTTGTTTCTGTTTCTTTTTGCTTTCTCTTGTTTGATTTGGCTACCGGCGCGAATCCGCCCCATACCCGTAATTCGGGGTGGTGGCGGGATCCGGGCACCAATGAGTGCCCGGGTATGGGGTCGCGAACCCTGGTAGCCTAATCGGCTTTGTTGCTCTTGTTTATTGCATTTCAACTTCAACATGGCCAATGCGCCTTTCCAAATTCACTCCATCTCTTTGTACAGTCGAGGGGGGTGTTTTTGGGGGCATGTAGTTTTATCATAGCATGTTTCCATGCCACGGCCAATGCGCCGTTTGGCTCAAGCTTTTCACCGCGTCGGACTCCGCCGCCATAACGGCATCGGCTGCCTGCGGCGCCGCTACCCATCTCGGTCTTGCAAAAGGTCGGGCTGGGGTTCGCGGCGGTAGGCACGTTCTTTGGTTGTGGGTCGGTTGTGTGTCTGGTGGTGTGCACCTTGTTGCTGCTGCTCCGCTTTCGCTTGGTTAATTGCTTTGCTCGCTCGCTTGCTGCTCTCGCCTGGTTGGCTGCGCTGGTCCCCTTTCCTGTTTGGGTTTTGCGGTTAAACAGGATTCCCCGTTTGTTATCTGAGTGGTTCATTGCCAGCCGAGGGCACCACTTTGCCCTTGGGACTGGGGGGCTTAAACTGTCTCTTCTTGTTGGTGGGTTAGGGCCTGTTTATTCTCTCCCGAAATATTGTTTCAATCCCTTTCGCACTTTTTAAAGGACCCCCCCCCAAAAAAAAAAAGGTTGTCCCTTTGGGTTTCCCTTACAACCCACAAACAAGAGGCACCCACAAACGAATACGACGAACCCATGCTCCGTCGCTTGCCAGGGCACCTCGCATAGCTCCTGGGTCAACGACTTGGAGAAGCCTGCCTTTGTTGACGCTTGATTGCAAGAGTCTGCAAGAGGTCAGGCAACCCTCAGATGGTTGAACCCCTGGCCTTTGTAGGGAGTAAATGGGAAACCACCTCTTAACCACGAAAACAACCAATCCAAAGGGCTAATCCAAACCACCAATCCCAGGGAAGCTGAAGCGAGCTACCACGGTTGAAACGCATCGCAGGATCAGGATGTAGGCGCCGGTCTAAGCTGGTTTCAGTTTGGCTTTCCTTCTGAGTCGGTTTGATTCAATCACGCCAATTTTGCCTGAGCAAGAAAGGAAGGTCAGCTGATAGCGGCGGAGTCCAGTCAGCCAGGGACAAAGACCTGGGTGCTTGTGGTTTCTATGGGCGGCCTTCATCTTGAATGGGGTACTTGGAGAGTCCACTTGAGGACCCGGCCCCCGCTTCATCCACACAAGGCACATCAACCAGATGCTGCTGATATTTGGGGCTGTGTCTTTTTGAGGATACTCTTTGTGGGGAAGGGGGGCTTGACAGAACCGAAAGGATGCCAAACATTTTTTGGGCTTTCTTTTGTGGGGGCTCCGATTTCTTCCCTTTCAACCAACACCTTTTAAAGGAGGGCCAAGTGAAAGGGTCCATGGCAGGTTTCTCCGGAGCTCAAAGAGCTCAAGGAGTTCTTGAGCGAGTGCGGCTTTGAGGCTACCAGCTTGTTCCCGACTCGGATCTGGTGATGAGAGCAACATGAGAACTCGGCTGGAAGAATCATTAAAGAATCCGGGGAGGGTCCTACACGTAAAAACAATTTCCCTTTTTGGACCGCAAGTGCCAGCTTGAGTGGGAAAACCAGTGGCTCCACAGGTGGCTGAGCGCCGGGCGAATCCCTTGAATTCCTGGCAAACGGTGCGATTATTCAAGTAGAATTCCGGGGAATGGAAGTGGCGAACGTTTGCTCGGCGTTTGAACTACTTTGGTGGGATCTTCCAGGGCGAAGGTGCTTGATGTTCCCCCCTCCATTTTGGGGGCACCCCGCGTTTGGTATGGAGCAACTCTGTGCCCGTGCATGGCCTTTTGATGCAAGGGCCTGGTCATTTATTTGGAGCCCTTCAGTGGGAACCCGAATCTCAACGAACCCAAAGTACCAAGCTGCGATCGATTGAGACAGACAAAATGGGACTAAGGTCTTTCCCCTGATTTGCGGACGCCCTGGCGGTTTGGTGTAACCCGAGTCTTGATACCTCAAACCGAACTGAGTCTGTTTGAACATCCAGTATGGACCTATGCGTCCAATGCTTGCGACCAAAGGGAACCCCTCCAATACTTGTTTGGGGGGAATCCTAATTTCCTCCAAATGAACTCATCTTGAGACACAAAGTCCATCTTGAAGCAAAGTCTTTCCTGAGGCTTCCCTCAGAAGGGGCATGCGCCGATTCGGAGGCGGTGCTGATGTCCGGCTCCGGGAGCACCATCTTCTGCCTCGGCGAGCCCAAGGAAGGAAAGGAGGCATTTGAGGCGCGGCAAAGTCAGAACCCCAAGCATGGAACTCACTCCCTGAGTTTCCGGACTTCGAAAACTTTATAGGAAGACCATCTTAGACGGTGAACAAAAAGTTTTAACTGTTTCTGGCCAATCAATCCACTCAGGAAGTGAGAAAAGGTTTCCCTTTTGGTCTGCCTTTTAGACCAACCTGAAAAGTTAGTAGCCGCAAGGAACACACAACCATTTGGCAGGGTGGCTCGATTCAGGAACAAACCCCTGAAGGCTAGTTGGCGTTGGTTTGACTTCCCGGAAAACGCCGGGGCCAGATGTCGGCCCGCTTTCCCTTTGTTTTCAGAGTAATCCTGTTTGAGCTTGAACCCAAGCCTCATTCGGCCTCTATGATGTTTTCTGGGTATTGCTCCTGCTTTGAAAGGATCCCACATAGGCTGGAACCCAACCGATTCCAAGTTCTATGGCAACTCAAAGTCAATGAGCGTTGGGCGCTGCTTTGAACAGAGCAATCCCCATTTACCCTGGCTTCATGGGGGTCATAATAAGGCCTATGGCAGCCAGTATGCATTGTGGGAGGGAAGAGTCAAAGGTGGCACAGCTGTTGTTCAACGTTTCCTGAGTTGTCTTCGGGGGTGCTGCAAAGGGAAACTAAATGGATCTAGTGGATGCCCAAAGTCATAGTGTTGCATGTCAAAAAACAAGGCAACCCTGGAATTTGCCACAGTTTTGTGGTTGAGTGTGGTTTACTTGCAATACTTGGGGCATGCGTATCGAAGCCCATGGGCGGTCCACATCGAGTTTTGGGAGACCCAACAATGTGCCTCAGGCCACCACAAAGGAGCGCTTCGACATCGAAGGCATTTGGCAAACTCACTTCATGCGCGGCTTGGCAGAGCTTGCGGCTGCTATTTACTTGGGCAGAACCTTTCACCTTGGACCCCTTGGGAATATATATATATATATACACACGTGTTTCTTGATGAACCAATCAAAAGTTTTTTTTTGGACAGTGTGGAAACAGGAGCCCTCAGGCGCCACAGCGTTTGGCTCATTGTGTGCTAAGAGAATTGGCGCTTCGCAATGGTGGGCTTTTGTTTCACTTAGTATTATTTAACTCCCACCAGCCCCCCGCCCCCTGAGAATGTCGCAAGAGTCGACGCAGATGTCTTGGCCTCAGGTAGGCCGAGCCCAACCGAATGGTACGAGAAGGCGCAGCCTGCAAGAGCTTTTGGCTCACCCAGTGAGATGTCTTTGGAGACGAAGCCTTATTCAAAAACGGATGATTTGGCTTTCTAGGCCGCTTGTTCACCATAGTTGTTCTTTGTGCAGATACATGAAGCATGTGCAGTTGCAGTTGAGTGAAATTGTCCCCAACTGCGAGGCATCGGTGCATCCACCAAATTGTTGCTTCCCTTGCACTATTTGGGGCATCCGCCGCATCACGCCAGCTGGGGATTGATCAATAACCCTGACCCCTAAATGACAATGTGTAACTGTCCTTTTGATGCCCCAACTCCATCCTCCCGCCTATCTGCTGGCATTAGATTGCGCGCGCAGGCGTAATCTGAGGGGCGAACCGCATATTTGCCGAAGTCTCGGGCTTGGTTTTATGTTCAGCCTCACAGCGGTCCCCGCTTGGCCCATTTAAGGGGATTTGAAAATCAGGGTCAGGGCTGTTGATTCATTGTGTATACGTGTACATGGTGTTGGGCCTCCTCCAATATCAGGTTTTGATTATGACTCGCGGAGTACGCGGCAGCCACGATTCCGCCTATGTTCGCAGCAATGTCGGCCGTTTGATTTTCCTTTTTTTCAAGCCGCCAAAGAGCGCAAGGAGTCGCGTGCCGGAAAACTTGAAGAAGTCCAAGAGCCCTTCAACAAGCCTTTTGAGCGACCGTGACGGCCAATGAAAGGAATCCTACCAACGTAGGGTTGGGGTATGCTCAAAAGGCATGTTGGAGGGGCGTTGGAAAGTCGGTGCTGAGCTGCATGGCTGTGGCACCCTGATCGCACGAATGATTGAAAGGTCGGTTAACTGAAGGGTTGATTCTGAGCAACGGGCGGTCCAGTCGCCGTTTCGGACTAGTGAACCAAGAAGCTCATGGCAGAACACACACGCGCACACACACACACACGCAGGGATCTCAGAATCCTGTAGCAAGAGAGCATGTTTATGGGCAAAGTGGGCAACTGCTTTCATATTTACTTGAGCTAAGTCCAATTTCTCCAAAAGACCATCTTCACCTTCGCCCTTCCCAAAGACGTCAAGCGACAAATTCCGAAGTTTTCCCTTGGGACAGCCGAACGCGAGTGGCTATGTGGCGATCCGGGTGGCAGTCCGTGAAGGCGGGGCAAGCTTGGGAGCAGTGCGTGGGACCTGTCGGGGCATGCAGACAGATCGAAGGGGGATACGTGAACCCAATTTCTACAAGAACCCAGCGCAGCCCAGTGGGTTGTTCAGTTCGGTTTCCTTAAAAGGGAGACCCTTGATGAGAAGGAAAGCGGAGGGCAACCAGTCGGGGCCTTTCATCTTCCCACATGTTTAATCTACCCGAAGGGAAGCCAAAAGGGGGTGGTAATTGCTTGTAATTTGTGGTCCAACCCCCCCCCCATTCAGCAGCCAGGGATGTTCTCTTGTGTTTCATGTTTGGCAATGATTTCATGTTTGCGGTTTGAAGGGAAGCGAATATTTTCTGGCACGCCCATGATAAAGTCTCTTTCGCTCGAAGTTGAAAAGGGTGAAGGCCGAGCTTTTGGGTTGGTTTGATGGCAACCATTGGTAGGGTTCCAACGATTGAGGGAATGTCGATCACGACACATGAAGCCGACCGTTTGTGGCCTGGAGAGTGGGAGCTTTTGATGTGGCTTCAGGGCGACTGGGTGGGTCTCCTGAAATGGCAAGATCCATCAGGGAAGAGGCAGTCATCAAATGCACCTCGTAAATGAGGAGGGTAGTGCTTCCCCAATGTACCTCGTTTTGTTTGGTCATATGTTGGCCCCGCCCGCTTTTAGCCGGAGTCCCTGTGAGAACATCTTTGTCCTTCCATTGAATCAGATGGGCGTGATTCTTTCGAGGCTTGCTCTTGTTGTTTTGAGTTGCTGCCTTTTTTGGAGCTGTTTTTTGAGGGGACGCCAACCCAGCATACCTCTTTTTTAAGCCAACAACGGAGCAATCGAAAAACCCAGCCTCCTCCGTTCAAAGGAAGCCCAAGGGACACTAAAGCCCAAGCGAGGGGTTCCCATTTGGAGAAACTGCACGGCCCAGGCATGGACACTGCACGCCAGATCTCGGTGTCCGGTTCAAGCTGCACCACGTGAGGCAGTCCATCACGGTGTTGAGTGTCAAGACAGACCTACGTCCCCCAGTAGTTCCCTTTTACCCTTTTTTGGGGGAGGGTTTCCCTATTAAAATAGACTACAGAAAAAAGGGTACCCTTATTCTACCCTCTCTACTGGAGGACCTAGAAGAGGAAGAAGCTGAGTTTCGGTCAACATGTACAGTGTTGGAGGTCAAGTTTGTGGAGCTTCCTAGGAAACACGAATGAATTTGAATTGAGGTCTCTTAGCAATACGCCTCGGGTTCCCTTCATGTTCCCTTTGGAGCAAATTGTTAGCTAATTGGAGGTTGTAACAAAGCAGCCATGGCCATCCCCCACAACGAGTTGTGGCGTGACCATGAGTCACATGGGCAGCAGACGATAGGAAGTGCCAGGATATCGGTTTATTGTAGTCCCTTATTAATTTTGCAGATTGAGGGGCATGGGTTTGTGGTTCTCCCCCATCGGCTGATTTTTTTGTTGAACACTCTCGAGCTTTCTTATGGACTCTGCGCAAAGCCCCTATTGGCCAATTTGGTAGGGTCTTCCGCTGCCTGATTGCATAAGGAGTACTGTGCTTAATAGGAGTTTTAGTGAACCTCTACAACCACATTGGCAGAACCCAAAGAACCAAATGTCACAAAAGCACAGGCTGGAGTTGTCTTACCCAAGCCATGCATAGCAATGTTGTCAAGTCACCATGCTAAGGCCCGCCTCGGTTGTTGAGGGGTTTTGTAGTTCCCGCAGAACCAACAATCAAGTCTAAGTGTGAGCCGCGGCTGTTCCCAAACCTTGCAAGTAGCAACAGGAAATTCCTGCAATGTCCCGTGGCTTTGGGTTGGTTGGCTTACATTTGTGTGTGTGTGTGTGTCTTCGTTTGAGGGTACCCATTGTTTGTGGTCCGCAAACAAAACCAAAAGGAAAACCACCCATTTGGGCCTGAACAAAGACATCCATTTGTTGATGTTGGGTCCCCGCTGCTCATATGAGTCGTAAGAGGCAGTCAGACTGCCCAGGTGACAGAGGCTCGCCGCGGTTTCTTCGCATCGAAGTGGCAGAAACGGTCAGCTCCTCAGCTTAGTCCTTGCACAGATTTTTCAACTGGTGAATCGCCCACAACGAATGGCTTCCTGTTGGTTTGGGTCTAACGGGTGCGTATGGGTACCTTCAAACAAACTCACCTATACCTAGATGTTAACAGAACTATTTCAAGAGTTGTCAGCATATACCAAGATATGGAAATATGACACAATGTAGGCACCCCCCCTCGAACTTGACGTTTATGTTTTGCGCAGTCACCCAAATTGGGTGTCCAAATTGGTGTGTTTGCCTTTTCAGACTTGACGCCTGAATGGGAACCTAAGATTAATGAGCCCCTGGTTGACGTTGATCGGGGAGTGGCCCATTTCCGAATTTAAATAATTCATGGGGTTGACCCAACCACTTTGCCTTATACAATGAAGGTAGACCTTGCGTGAGTAAAAGGCTTCCTTGGGAAATGAAGGGATGACTTCACCCGAGTCGGGATGGATGTTTTCACCCAGGCTGGGGCACTTGCTGGAGGGCCGCCGCAGACCTCCGCCCCCGGAGATCCCAGACAAGGCAGCCCAGCGCTCGCCAATGTGGGGTTTTCGGATCACTTTCTCTGAGGCAACCGTCTTTTTTCCGATTTTTGGGCACCAAAAGAGAAAATGGAGGTCAACAAACTGGTTTGGTGCGGATCTGGCATACCAAGGCACCCCCCTTTAAAGGGGGTGAAGGGAGAGAACGCAAGTCAGCTTAAGATGGGAAGGTTTGTTTTGTCGTGTTTAGTTTGTTTGTTTGTCTGTCTGTCTGTCTGTCTGTTTGTTTGTTTGTTTGTTTGTCTGTTTGTTGGTTTGTCTGTCTGTCTGTATATTTGTTTGTTGCTTGCTTGCTTGTTTGCTTTCTTGCTTTGTTTGCTAGCTTGCACACTTGCTTGTTTGTGTGTTTGCTCGTTTTGGAGTTTCCTTGGCTCGTTTGGGGCAGGGAGCGGGCAGAAGGGAGGGAGGGGAAACACATTTGGGGCAGTGGTGGAGGGAATTGTTCATGGTTGTTCTATATAGGGCTGCATTTTTCTGAGGGTAGCATTTTGGGGGTTGGTCTAAACAAACACCAACAGGAAAACCGCAGTTGGTGGTTCTCCTATTTTGATACGTACCCAAAAAAATACAAACCTGACAGCATTATTGGTGTTGGTTTGGGAGGGCGGGACGGCGGAACGTGCCGGAGGTGTTTGTCTCAGCACTGGAGCCAGCAAAAGCATACTGGCAAACAAGTTCACTGGGGGTAACAAGAGCTCGCGATGAAGCGTCACCGTGGTGCCAACCCATCTTGTGGGCTAAGCATGGAAAGGGCATCAAGCACTGGAACTACAAGTTACATTTGTATGGGGGTTAAGAAAATATTTAGAATGATCAACATGATAGCACTGAGGGAATTCCCATGTTCCAACTTGCAAAAGGAGATAGGGCGCTTTGCTGCAAATGGCCCAACTGCCTGAAATGCTTGGCTTGACAAAAATAGTTAGGCGGGGATCAAGCTTCGGAATGGTGAACAACTTGAAATTGCGAGCATGGAGGGCTCTATCGGGTTTGATGGGGATTTACGTGAAGCCCATAGGTGATAATATAAGCGACTATGACAAGTTGGTGCTCCAGTCAAGTGCTGAGACTCTCCCAAGCTGACTGACAGGGTGGAAGAACAAACAATCTGACCGCAAACCCCTTGCCACGTCCATTAGGGTACCAGCACCCCCGACTACCGCCCAAGCGAGAGTACTTAGAATTTGCCACAAAAGCAGCAGCTAGCAATAGTACCGCTTTCTGTTTAAATGCGGGATGCCCCTGAAAAAGGTGCCTGATTACCTCTTACAAAAGGATTCCAGAACAGGATTGGCTAGCAAGTGCCGCAGGGGATACAGCGGTTATCAACACAAAAAGTAAGCAACGGTTTGCGGGTGTGCGCGAGTGCCTTCGAGTATCCTTTGCTGTGCGTCCAGATTGTGACACTAAGTGTCACTTGCATGTCACTGTCGGGTCATTGTGTGTCACAGCGTATCGCTTGCATGTCACTGCGTTTTGCTTGCGTGTGTCACTGGGAGCTGCTACGTGTTAAAAAAGAAGAGAAGAACACAAACAGTTGTTGGAGGGGGCTGGTAGCCGTGTCTTTGCCTGATTGGTGGTTGTTTCGTCAGTGTCGCTTGTGGTGACAACTTAATGACATGGTTTTTAAGAGGGCAACTTCCGAGCGCCCAAATCTTGCTAACGCTTCCCCATTCTCTCGAGGGAGCCTTTGCAGGAAACAAACACACACACAGCAAAAGTTGATCGGTTTTGCGAAATGGAACGCCGGTTGCAACGGTTAAGCCGTGGAATCCACCCCCGCATTTTGCGCGTTGCACATGGCACAGCGGCTGGAGTCCTGCCAACACCTACATGGGAAATGTTTGCCAGCACTTGGCCATTTTAGGGGGGGTAGATCTCGCGCCGTAGACACCTGGTGCCCGGGACTTTCACTCTGTTCCTTTGGGGGGGGGGTTCGGGTTTTGTTTGGGGGGGGGGGGAATAAGCACACGGTTGACAATATGCTCATGGCTCATGTTTGCATTTCTTCATCGCCTCAGCCACTGAAGCGCTTTCATAGGGACATGTACCAGAAGTATCATGGCAAAATCGTGTCATGGCCGTCTGATCCGCTCTTGTGCATGTGGCTCGTGCTCATGCAGCTGCCGTCCTCGTCTTGGTACCCCACTCACATGCTCCGAAGCCCCGGTGTGCATAAAGCGCTCGAGGCCCTGTCAACATACAGAAAATACTGTGCGTCGTCTGGATATGCCCCGGCCGCCATTTTTGCAGACAGCATGATCAAGTCTTGGTTGAAGTTGGCTTCGTGAAAAAAGGCTGGCCTGCGTGTGGGGTTTCAGCATCGCTTTCATAGCGACATGCTGCTTCTTAAGGATGACGTTCCTTGAAAGTGTTCAAAACACCGCGCAGGCCATGTGTTTCAATCTTCCAGACGATCCACTCGAAGTATGACAGAAAACAACGACAGCCAAAATCAACTTCTTGCCCGGTATTTTTCCTAAAAAGCACCGGAAAAGTACTGCGCGAGCACATGGTAAACTCATGATTGTGATGCCACAAAACACTGGTTTTCCCACGGTTTTTGCTGGCCAAAGCATCCATGATGAACTAGAACTGATGAACGCCCGCGCGCCAGGTGTCCGTGGCGCGAGATTTAGGTATATATGTCCTTTACGTTGTCTGGGATAGTGCAAAACCCTGTCAGAATCTTTCAACATGGCAGCTCCCGTTCGGTCCCCATTCAAAAGCCCTCTTTTTTGGATTGCGATTTGATTCGCGCTTGAACCAGTGTCGTACCTTTCTGGCATGTGATGGTTTTCCCGCCAAGTATCAAACATACGTACTTTACTTCGGGCTTTACTCGCTTTCAGTCAGAGCAGCCAATTTTGACATAGGTTTGTCTCCAACAGATCTCGGCCCCCCTTTGAAATGACTCCATATGTTTATCCAAATGGCAAATGGCAAAGCCACAGATGGAATAGGAAGCCTTGAGCAACAACTTCGAGCTCAAGCCCTGCAAGCCCATCCTTGGGTCCAAGAGGACGGGTGTGCCGGCGCCCCGTTGCGACGTTCTACGGCTGGGTGTCCAGGGTCTCAATATGTCCCCTCTTGCCGTGTTTTGAATTTTAAACATCATCTATTGGGTGCCAATGTTTGGTGAGCTTCCTTTTGGTGGGGCGTCAAAGGCGAAGTACAAGGGAGCCCCGGTGTCGCCAGGTTTCCATGTGATAACGAGCTCACCTCGTAAGCAAGGTTCCCAGTGTCCTTGACCGTGGCAAGACGCCCCGGATGAAATTTAAAATGGGAACACTGGCTCGTTTGTCTCAATAATGTGGACCCCACTTGGGGAGGGTATTGGACCCAACCAATTTGTGTTTCTTTTTGGAGCGGTTTCATTTGCAGTGATAAGCTTGCCTTTTCCACACATACGTTGACAACTGAACACTTGCCTTGAGAGAGGAAAGCACCTGTGTTTTGCTATGCTGAATGCTCTTGCCCATGACAAGGACTAGCGTGGCACTGCGCACGCTCATGGCTGCTCCCCAAAACATTAGCTTTGCATTCCTGTCACATACCATCAACTGATCTCTGATCCAGTCGGTACAGCAAAGATGGAAGTGAACAAGCTCCCATTCCAAGTGCAAAATGTGTGTCTAGAGGGGGCTTGTGCACAAACTACGTTTGCTGGTGGGAGGATAGATGCAAAAATGTTGCTCCTATGATCATGACTTGGTTCAACAGTACCACCCCCCTCTCGCCCCCGTCCAAATGATTGAACCCCTTGTAGTTTCTTGGCAGGTCCGGACCCATTTGCATTCTTACCGAGGTTGGCCTACAAGATCGGCTGCATGTCTCTTTGGGACGACGCTTTGGCCACACTCGCACAACTTGTCATTCATGGTTGTTGAGGGCCCCAAACAATGGCCCGCAATGTCGGTAAGGCCCAATTGTGACTGATGGATACTGACATACAAGGCCTAGGACCTCCGTTTTGCTGAGTTTCCACTGGTGTCCTCAGCACCAGAGGACATATCCTTTCCGGAGAATACATGAAGCAAGCAATAAGTTTTGCATATGCCTCAACTTCATGTAGTCGGACTCCTTTTGAACCTTATGGGGTCACCAGTCAGAAAAGTCCGAACACGGACAGACCAACTTTTTGTTCAGATGTCATGGACACTCTAGGTAGGTTTGCAAACTAGAGTGAACACTTCGAGTGGCGGAGGTTGTGGACCCAGTCTCAGGCAATAACATCAACAACCAGATGCCTTCCAAATGGCACAGGTCTTATATCGACTTCCGTTCCACATGGGTGGAAAAAGGGCCCAGCTATATAGTTTAAACACATGGGCTCGTCAAAACTCGAGACCCTTTTTGTACCTTTCTCAACGCAGCAGAAGGGTCGCCAGGGACCTTTTGTCGTGGAACGCACCAGAAAGTTTAAAAAAGAAAAACTAAACCAGAAATGCGAGTTTCATGGGGCACACACCGAGGAGTGGGGAGTGAAGCACATGGTGACGGTTTGCCAGCTGGATCGGCTACATGTCGTGCCGCGTGCTCGTCAACGAGCGTACTGCGCGCAAGTGAGACGAAATTGGTTTGTCTCCAAAGGCAGGATTGCCAAAATGGCTGGTTGTCCATTGGTTTCCGCTGAAACCCACTCAAACCCCAAGAGGATCGGTTTCCCAAACACGCATGTGTGTGTTGGTGTGCTTGTGTTTGTTTGTTTGTTGGTGTGTTGGTTTGTTTGTTTGTTTGTTTGTTTGGTTTGGTTTGGTTTGGTTTGGTTTGTCTTGTTGTGTTTGTTTGTTTGTTTGTTTGTTTGTTTGTTTGTTTGTTTGTTTGTTTGTGCGTTTGTTTGTGTGTTTGTTTGTGCGTTTGTGTGTTTGTTTGTTTGTTTGTTTGTTTGTTTGTTTGTTTGTTTCTTTGTTTGTTTGTTTGTTTGTTTGTTTGTTTGTTTGTTTGTTTGTTTGTTTGTTTGTTGTTTTGTTCGTTTGTTTGTGTGTTTGTTTGTGCATTTGTGTGTTTGTGCGTTTGGTTGGTTTGGTTTGGTTTGTTTGTGTGTTTGCTTGTTTATTTGTTTATTTATTGATTGTTTCTTTCTTTATCATTTTTTTAGTAGTATTTCTGTCTATCTATCTATATGTGTTTCTTTCTTTATTTCTTTCTTTCTTTCTTTCTTTCTTTCTGTCTTTCTTTCTTCATTTGTTTATTTGTTTATTTGTTTAGTTCTTTCTTTCTGTGGTTCGTTGTTTCTTTGTGTGTTTGTTTTTTGCTTGTCTGTTTGCTTGTTTGCTTGCTTGATTGCTGTTTTTGCGTGTTTGTTGGTGTGTTTGCGTGGTTGTGTGTTTGTTGGTGTGTTGGTGTGTTTGTGTGTTGCTTGTTCTGTTATGTATTGTTTGTTTGTTTGTTCGTTTGTTTGTTTGTTTGCGTGTTTGTTTGTTTTGTGTGTGTGCCTGTTTGGGGGGTGGGCGGGGTTGGGGGGGTGAGGGGGTGCGGGCGTAGAGGGTGCGGGGGTGGGTGCGCGGTTGTGTTTCGTGTGGGTGTGCGCGCGAGGGCGTGTGCGTGTGCGCGCGAGGGCGTGTGCGGGTGCGGGTGCGGGTGCGGGTGCGGGTGCAAGTGTGTGCGTGCATTCGGGCGGGCAGGCAGGCGTTCGTTACAAACGCTCGCGAATTTGCTGTCACAAGGATGGGAATTCAACCACTGCAGGGGGTCGATTGCCTTCGGCGTCATAAGAAAATGCATCCAAAAGCGAGGTCTTAGTTGGGAATCCCAAACGCCTTGAACCGAATTTCTTGAGAAGGGTGTGACAGAGGGTGGCAGGATTGCCAATCAAGCCGTGACTTTCGGATGACTTTCGGATTTTCCAAGTTCCAGAAATCCGTTTCTTTGTATGTTGTATTGTCTTGGTGCGAGCCCGGTTCGCCACGATTTGTCTCGAGTACATTCTTGAGCCCTTCGCAGCTTGAGGCAAACAATGACTTTGCAGAAGAACGGCTATGAGGCCAGGCCTCTTTCCTTGGTCCATGGCAGTCCTGCTCAATGTGGTGGAGCCGGATAAGTGAAATATGTTTCTGCGTAGTGAGATGCCTGCAACAGCAGCGGTATTTGATCTGTTCTGTGTTCGCATGAGTCAAACATGTCTGGGGAATGGTCCATTTGAATCATTTGAACAGGAAGCAAAGGTACTCATTGACACATCGTTCAATGCAATATCACTGAATGAGGATGCCTTGTTCGGGGTTTTAACTTTGCGGTGGGAGTGACATTTGGGCAACCCGGACATGCATCAGCAGGTGAGCTCGTGTGGTAGAATCCCATTTGGCCGGAGCACTCTTCTCACTTGAACAAGTCAGCGCTTTCCATCAGCGCTTGTGCGAATGACCGGCAGTGAGAATGGATTGCCAGCGAACTGCTGTTCCTTTGTAAGTGTAGTCGGCGGGAACGCCTTCCAGTATCACCGAAGTTGCGCATTGCCACAACGCTGCAGCCCCTCCTGAGACAAGCTTAGAACATGCCACAAAACACCCCAGCAAACGACCTTGCCAGAAAAGGCTGCCCCTTTTTGACCTCCGTGTCGCTGAATCTTTAGCACAGCCAGTCGGCCCTGAAGGTGGTGGGGAGAGCATGGATGGACCCTCCATTGGACGGAAAAGGGCTCTCCATTGGAATGGTGTGGGGCTCATAGCCTGTTTCGGAGAATCCCGGGATTCGCAGCCTACTCCATCTATGCACCAAGTTTTGACCCAATAGGGTAGCTGTTGGTAGATATTCCATGTGTCTTGGTTCAGGGCACCTTCGGTTGAGGGAAACCAGGGGCCAAAGAGAAGCCAAAGAGAAGGCCTCGGGATCACTGAATAGCTTGCTGGTGCTCAGTAGGGAATGACCCAGGCTTTGAGAGTGATCCCAGGGATTCCCTTAAAGGAAACCATAGGGGATGGTTTTTGGTCGGGGGTCATTCCAATTCGTTGCTGAGAACCATGGAATGGGTGGTTCCGGCTTCCCGGAGAGGCGGTGCAGCTTGGCCTGGGCTACCGGTCCATACACCGCCTCAGTAGACCAGTGGGGCCCTCAGCGCGATGCTCCGAAGGGTCGAAGGGCCAAACCAAAGACCATGACACTTACAGAAACAGCCTCTGCAGTGGTGGGACATCCATGATGTCCACCAATCATGCGTACACAAAGGGGTGGGTGTTTGGAGGATACCTTTTTGGCGTGGTGTGAAGGGGTGGAAAAAACCATTGCCGGAGTCCTACTGAATCGACTTGTAAACTCAACCTGGGTAGTTGAAAACTGTCCGTTTTTGAGGTTCCCCCAGTTTGAGGTGTCTTGGGACCCTCACTCATGCTTGCCTCAAAAAATCCACACTGCATGTGGCATGTTGGTTGGCTCAGAGACATATGGACTAAACGTGTAGGTCGGTTGGTGTGCTTGGGTTGGGGTGGTGGGGCAGTTATCTGAAAGAATGGCCATGACCCAGCAGAAGTTGGACCATAACAGTGTGGGCCTTTCCTATAGAAAGCCCACTTGCAAGCAAGGTCTTGAAGAGAACCCTACCCTGAAGGTCTCCATTCAGCAATCTTCTGCTAGGGTTAACATGATACTACAAAGCACTCAAACTCAAACATGGCTTATGCGCCAAGCATCTCCCAGAGAGGGTATGTGTCAAACAAATGTGTTTGACTGCTCATACCTGTTATTTCCAAGAAACAACAAACTGGTGGGAAGTTGATTGACTGTTTCCAGACTCCCCTAGTAACTCTGGTACTCCAGGGACAAACAATTACGATATCTTGCGTATCCTTCCGTGCCATCCGGATTTCCTGGCCACAAGGGAGCTAAGAGGTACTTTCGACTTCCAGGTGATTTGGCGCTGTCTCATCAAAAGAGCTCGCCACGTTTTGAGTCCTTGGCAACTTTCCTTCCAAGCCACCCTGCAACCAGGTGGTGTCCTTTACCTTCCAAACCATCGTCTCCAGGGCCATTGACTGGTACCCTGTGCGCCATTTGAGGATTCTGGGTGACACTTATTTAGAGCTGATTGCTCAGGTTGAAGCCTAACTTACAATCTATAAGAACACAAGTCCACATTTCCATCAGACAAAACGACTGGAACTGGTCGCAGGTAGCCATTCTTGACACACATAGCTTGGTTTCGTTGCAACCTATCTCTAGGGGATCATTGCAAACATACACCTCGCAGTCATGATTTGGCATGCAAGCTGCATCATGTTTCACACACCGGGTTTGGCAAGATTTGTTTCAGCAAGCAACGGCCTGAGGAAATCGGCACCTTCATTAAAGCCGGCGTGGGGCCGAAGCACCACAAGTGCGAGCCCAGCGCTGAGCTTTGCGTGCGCATGCGCCGCATGCGGTGCTTGACCCCTGGAGTTTGTGGCAATGGCATAACGGGAATCCAAAGCATGTCCTTGAGTGATCGTCCGTCACTTTCTGTAGAAGATTTCAGCCAACAAGATTTGTAGTTGGTGTTCAACACAAGGCTCACAAATTGGAGAAGACTGCCGGGGGGGGGTGGCTAGGCTCATTTTCCGTCCTTGGAACCTTGCTCTTGACGGCGACATGGGAAAACCACCCCCTTCCCTGGAAACACCTGGTGAGAGGGCCGCGCCTTCGCAGGGTGTGCCTGAACAACTGAGTGGAGGGGGCTAGTCCTTGTGAGTGTTCCAAAAATTGGATTCGAGCTGGTAATTCAATCCGATTAGGGCTGGTTTTGATTATGACTCAAGTGGACCCCCTTTCGGTCCGTTCTAAAAGGAAAAAACAGCAGAAGCTGAACCACTTTCTAAGTATTCCGAATTCAGGACGAACCACAGTGATTGGTTCCTTCTTGAGGACCACTAAGATGGTTAATTTATTTCCCCCCCCCACAGAAAAGACGTCGGCTCAGGTTCCGGGTGTCTTCTGACTGCCTGCTGCCAGCAGGACATTCGGTTTTGATGCCGAAGCTCATGAGCCATCGGAACGAATTGAAAGAAATGAAGTGGCCTTGAGGTGTCATGCTTGGAGTGCCCTCCGAAATGTTCGGATCCAACAAATGAAAATTGAATGTCCACCGATGGGCACTGAATTGTGATACTCAGAGTCGCTGGTTCTGCCCTTTGTTGCTGGCCAGTATAGGTAAGCGAGTAACGGAGCAGCGAGACGTGGGCATTCTCCTTGGGGTTGGTGGGAATGGTTGGCCGTGTGTCAAGGATTTTAGATGACCATGGTAAAGATGCCTCATGGTAAAGATGCCTATTAAGGGATCCATGACCATGGCCGACATCTGACAGGACAGACAAATGCTGCTGACTGGAGGAAACACCTTCAAACATGTTTGGTGGACGCAAGCTCTCCCCTTGCATGTCCACCGAAGGACACTCTTTGGGCTGGTTTTGACGAGGATTTGCATGTAAGCCGCCCATTCTGGGGGTTCACCCCAAATGGCAGGATTGGAGCTCACCGTGCGGCACTTCGTGCCGGGCCAGTGGGCCAGGCGCCTGTCTATTCACCCGCCCCCTGAACAAACGAAGGGCGTGTGCGTGGCGGGCAAGTGGGCAGGCAAGTGGGCAGGTGTGGGTGTGTGTGTGTGTGTGTGTGTGTCTGGAGGGAACCAAAAGAGAAAAACCAACAGTGTGAATCCCCCTTTGACAAACCCAATGACTCTCAGAACCCTTCGACCGGAGCCCCTCAGAAGGTTCTAAGAACCTTTCCTGGGGTGCTTAACTTACATTCCAAACGCTTTGCCATTTTGGTTTTCCGGAACGTTCCCTTTCAACCACCAACAGGTGACTCTTTTTTTGGGGGGGGGGCTGTGGGAACCATTGTGCTTGTTCTTAGCAGAAAACCACACCCCAGTTGTTACAACATGCGCTCTGTTTTGTCATGAGGATAAGAAACCGAACCCCTGAGTTGGGCCTCGCCACTTTGTTCTGAGCTCGGGCAGTCCGCCCCGTTGAGGTCTTTGTCTCCGGATGGAGCAAAGGCAGAGGCTACCAAGGAGTCATGCAGCGCGTGGGGCTGAGAAAACGAAAAGAAGTGTGTGATGCCCACAACGCACAAGCTCCTAGAGCTGGTTCCCAGTTCAGAGGAGTTTGACCCTCCAGTTTATGTCTGGTTCCCGCTTAAAATAAAGCATGAGTCCAGTCCAAGTGCTTCTGACCTCGAAGCCTGTTTTGTTGATCTCCGTTTTAATTGTTGGTTTCGGGGGCTAAAGCAGGTCGAAGAAACTATATAGATGTCTTCGATTGTCAACATGGACCCATTTGCTCTGAAAACCTGTTAGCAGTCACGAACCCGAAAACAAATTATGTCCCACATTCTTCAGGCATTTGTTTTTCTTATTTCACGACTCTTGCAATCTTGGTTGTTCCTTGCAACGTTCTCTTTGCGACAGCCTTTGCTGACTTGCGTGCTCCGCTTGCACAGCTTGCAGCACTTGCTCTTTGCATGCGTGTTCTGTACGACTTTGAGGGATTTCTAGCTGCGTTGCTTCCCAAGCTGTATTGTTGTGCGACCTAAGGCGCATCAAGCGCAATTTACCAAAGACAATTTCCCGAAGCAAACACGCCCAGCGACATCCTCAACAAATCAAGCCCCCATCCAAGACATCTCCAAAGACATGTCCCAAACACATCCCACAGGCAACCTCCGAGGACACGCCTGAACCAGAGACAGCCGCCAAACACACCGTTGACACCTCCAAACGCAATCCACCCGCAAAGACACGCCCTAAGGGACATCCCCGTAAAGACATCTCCCCAAGACAACTGAATACGTATTTGAAAGACACCCCCCAGAGACCACCCCGCAGAGTCCCCGGCAGTACAGATTCCCAAAACACCCTTAAAGACATCGCACCAACACAGTTTCCAAAGACACCTCGCAAGTCACTCCCCCAACTGTCGCCCAAAACAACCTCAAAGCATCCAAACACGCCTGCGTCACCTTCAAAACCACTTTTCAAGACACCTTTTCAGAAACATAAAACACATCACCCAAGGCAACCGCAACGACATTATTCCCAAAGACACCGCAACGGCACCTCAGCGGGGCGTCCCCGCAAGACACCTTCCAAAGACATCCCCAAAACCACCCGCAAAGACACAACCCAGGACAACTGCGAAAACGTTTGCAAACACACACCCAGAAACATCAGACACCCCCCGAAAGTTCCCCGTAAAGATATCTTCCAACGACATCCAACTGCAAAGACCAAGGCAAGGCCAGCAAAGACATCCACGGCCAAGAAACCTTCAAACACATCCCCAAAATCATCCTCAATTCGCAAAGGCATTTGCCAAAGAGACGCTTGCAGTCATTCAGTGTGCCACGATGACATTGACGCAGTGTTGCTGCATGTGCCAAAGTACTGCGGCTGCCACGCATTCTTCACACCATGAGCCAAATCCACGAAATTCAGTGTGCAACCCTCCAAAGCGCTGCGCCTGCCACACAATCTGCGAGAAAAAAGGAGCTCTAAAGCGTTGCGACTGACTTTGGACTTACTTCGTATAAAAAACAAAAAGCACAGAACTGTGGCGCCAGCATGATTCCGACCGATCTTGGCAACTTCTAAGCTCACCAAAACGAGCCGATTGTACAACAGGGCCATCAAAAATGACACTCGCGCAAACGCTTGCACGCGCATGCCAAGCCAGACACCTCAAACGAACCCTGAAGCGCCAGTTGCACGACACGGTGACGCAAACACGCAACCTTCCAAACCACTTCCCCTGCGTGGCGAAACGACACGCAACGCCGCAAAAGCTGCGATTTGCGCACGGGCGCAATAAACACAACAAATCGTTCAAGTCATCAAATCGCGCATTCTGATTCTGAGCCTTCCGTAACGGCTTGGCCTTATCGCCTCATTGGCAACGGCTGCGAATGGCCGCGGACGATTGCGAACGATTGCGAATGATTGCGACATCTAGAACAAGACATTGCAACATTGCCATTGTAAACGGCAACCCTTCGCAGCGCATTCGGTAAAAAACGACGAATCTCAGCAGGGGTCCCTTTCGACCCCTCCAATCGGATCGAGGCTGGGGCTTCCAGGGAGGCGGCTCCGACAAGCATGGCCACAAGAAGAACCACCGCTCTGCGGGCTCATTGGGCCTGATCCTCGGGTTTGGCCAGGATCCAACCTGCGCGGGGAGATATGCAGTGTTGGGATGCAGCCAGTATGTCGAACTGATTCTTTCCAGTCTTGCTCCAATCTAAGATCGTTTTGCTCCAACCTAAGATGCTTTCACTACCCCCCAAACCACTGCCCCAGCAGTTGATTTGGATGCTATATAGCCAGTACATAAAGGGAATTTAAATCCCCTTTTCCTCGGGGAGGAGTGGAACCTCGTGGTGCAAGTTGTTTACTCCGACATGAAAACAGACCGCAGGCTGTGGCTAGCTTTGGTGTACTTTCTTTTCTTTGGAACCCTGAATTGAGTGTGTTAGCAACCATTCGGCTTCCTGTTCGGAGAACCCTGACCATCGGCACAAAGGGCTTTCAACCAGTGTGCGTGTGAGAAACGGAAACAATCCCAGTTCAGAATCCTGTGACTGTTTGAAGGGTAGCTTAAATGACATGTTTTTGCCGGAAAAAGCACATCCGAGCAACAACAACAACCGGGCAAACAAATCGAACAGCAGACAGCGCGCAACCGAATCCGGGCAAGCATTAGGATTATCTGTTTTGAAGTATGATCCCCAAAACATCAAGCAAGATAAACGTGTTACTTGAAACAAAAAGTATGGCCACACATTCACACAAAGGGGGTTACCCACAAGAGGCACTGATTTTCGTTAATGTGACTGTTTTGAGGTTCGCTTTAATCGCAATTTGTTTGGGGATGGGTGAAAGTCCCAAATCAGAGCATTGGCCTTTTTCCTTTAAAGGGGTAGTTCCTCTTGAGCTCTTCCTAGCTCAAAGGTCAAGCCTTAGCTATACTAAATTTAGAATCTGCAATACAATATTTAAGCCCTGGGACTCTGAAGGGTAAGTCTTGGCAATACTAAAAACTGAATTGGCAATACCAAACTAAGTACTAGCCTGCCGAAGTCGAACCCGGTCACCCAACTTCCCCATTAAAAGTGACCTCCCCATTAAAAGTGACCCTCGGTGACTGGTTGCACTGTTCAGGGGCGGGGGGAGGCTAGTAAAGCAGCCCCCACCATACTTAGAATTGTGGGAGCTTAAAAACAAAATGCACAGTCTTGCTCACACGAGAATATTGCGTGTAACTGTTTAGGTCGTTGTGGGCGGTCTTCCCTCCGAAAACCTCCCCAAAGCGGCTTCAGGCCAGCGTGGCATCGGAAGGGTCTGGGCGCACAAGAAGATGGCGGGGCACAGAGGCGCGAGCAAATGCCATTGCGAGTGCCGAAAGCCCCCTCCTTTTTTTTGGAGTACAGTGCTTCCCTACAAATTCACATGGAACCAAAAAGGCGGTCCCCCAAAAGGAGATGCTTCTATTCATGGTGCGTTGTAGGGTGTAGGTGGTTCTACTATTTGGTTCCGTGGCGGATATTAGGAGGACTCGCGTAAGCTTTGTGACTGTGTGTTATGGGCTTTGGACAGTTTGAGAATTTGCGTGCTGCTTGTTTGAGGCCTGTTTATCTCCCCCTCATATCAACAACGAGACAAGGGATTCAAACGAGCGGGGCTTGCTTTTTTGCGGGGACACTTAAGATGGATGTATTCTCATGTTCACCGGGAAACAATCCCAGTCAGGAGCAGATTCACAATCCAAAGTGGTCATTGGAGTGAGGCGGGTGAATAATGTGCTGAAATCCATGAGACGAATTTCGCCCGTGAATTGTTGGGCAAGCTGCAGCTTTGCCAAACAAGCGTTCCTCAGCAAGCTTTGTCCCGCCTTGATCCTGCAAAAAGTAAGTGTGCAAGTCCTGCATCCACTGAGTGTTTGGTACTCGCCCTCCGAGCTGGTTAAGCTGGACGTCCCCAAAGCCGGGTCGGCCTTTTCCAGTCCTTTGGCTCGTGAGGCCCAGATCCGCGGTGTGTGAACGCCAAGGCCGGGTTCTCAAAAACCCGAACGCCGCAAGCGATTTTTTGGAGGAAGCCAACGCGGGCGACTCTTACCCCCTTTTTTGGTGCTCAGGGACACCCAAGAAAGACCGGGCGGGCTCGCAATGCTGAAAGCTCCTTCATTTTAGGCATTCTTGGGGTTGGTGATTAGTTTGAAATCTTGGTTGGCTTGTGGCTGTTTTGGGCTTGGCTTTCGTTGGGCACCCGGTTGGACGGCTTTGTGAGTTCACCGGCTCTTGCAAAACTCAATGCAGCTGGGCGGCGTCGTGTACATCACCAAATATAAAGCCCCTTTCTTAGGAATACCTTAATTCGGGCGTTGGTTTTGTTTACTTGATTGCGCAGACGTGCACAGCTCCAGAAATCCGCAGACTTCCGAGGTGTTCAGAATTGAGAGCGCGCGGAATCTCATCTTCCTGAGGGGCGCCTTGCCTGGCTACAAGGCACCTTGAGTGCGCTCTGACGCCACTTCTCACTTTGGCATTGACTCAAAGGTGATTGCAAAAACACGATCAGTTGAGGGGCACTAAACATTTTCAGACTGCAGCATCATGTTTGAACTTTGGAGATCCCTCGTTAAACATTTTCCTTCTGCTTTCTTGTTCATCAACACCAAATAGAGGCATCCCCACAGTTCGCCGCCTTGGGGAGGATATTTTGTTGGGGCAGCTTTGTTTGCTACGCACCTTGTAGGCCATGTTCAAACACCTGGTTTGCCGAATGAAACATGGGCTGTCCGGGCGCTCCTGGCCTTGAAGTTGGAAAGCCCTGCAGAACCTGTAACCCCTGTCCCCAACCTTTTGGTTCAAGTTCGCGTGGTCTGCCCAAGCATACTCGATCCGAAACGCAGGGTCTATGGTAACACGACTACTCCCAGCAACCACTATCACCTACTTGACCTGGGTTTTTGACGAGGGCAGCGTGGTGAAGATCAGCGACGCACGGGGGAAGACGGGGCTGAAGAACAACCACATCCGCCTGCCGAGGCCCAAGGAGACTTGTTGCCGCATGTTGCCGCCCTAGGCGCTACTGTGGCCTTGCATATCGTGTAAGTGGGAGCGACCTGGGAAACTCCGAATGTCCTGTATCATTTGTTGGCTCAAAGGCCGCAGCTGTCGAAATACAGGCTTGCCTTTGTTCCGCACCTGTTTTGGGTTTGCTTCTGCAATTGCAAAGGGAAACCGTCCACTTGGGGGGGGGGCCTCCTAAGGTACAATCTCAAACTCATCTTTGAACCATGTAGGCCCTTTTGGAGGCAAGATCCCACATCGAAGCCGTAATTGTTGTAATTTTACTCAGAAACCCGGGGTCATACCCTTGCGTGCAAGGCGTTTGCGCCAACCGCGGCAGTGAGCGCCGCATTGAACGCTACAATGCGCACTACATTGAACACTACATTGAACACTGCCAAATTCGCGCAAATACCAGCAGTTTCAGCTGCGCTCCTTCTTTGAGGTAAAATAAATATATAAAAAAAAGGGCTTCAACTTCTTTCCAAATTTAGCCGATTTGTAGACATGGTTTTTACTAAAAAACAAATGTAGTGTTCAATGTAGTGCTCAATGTAGTGTTCAATGAGTGTTCAATGTAGTGTTCAATGTAGTGTTCACTAAGACTAGCGTTCAACCCATCGCTGAATGCAGTGTTCTCCCTGTATGCGCTGGAGCCCATGTTTACTTGGCTGGCAAGTTGTGCGACTTTCCTGAGTTGTGTTTGAGTTGTTGACTGGTCAGCCCATAGCCGCCCATGGGACAAAACGATTTGCTGATAGACTAACGTGACAAATCATTACTATTGAGCTGCAGTTTTTAAACAACCCTTGTGTGCAAGGTGTTTGCGATGACAGCGGCAGTGAGTGCCGCATTGAACGCTACAAAGCGCACTACATTGAACACCACATTGAACACTACATTGAACACTACATTAAAGACTGCCAAAATCGCGCAAATACCAGCAGTTTCAGCTACGCTCCTTCTATGAGGTAAAAGAAATAAAAAAGAGCTTCAACTTCTTTCCAAATTTAGCCGATTTGTAGACAGTGCTGGTTTTTACACGTCAATGTAGTGTTCAATGTATTGTTCAATGAGTGTTCAACGTAGTGTTCAATGTAGGGTTCACCAAGACTAGCGTTCAACCCATCGCTGAATGCAGTGTTCTCCCTGTATGCGCTGGAGCCCATGTTTACTTGGCTGGCAAGTTGTGTGACTTTCCTGAGTTGTGTTTGAGTTGTTGGCTGGTCAGCCCATAGCCGCTCATGGGACAAAACAATTTGCTGATAGAGCTAACGTGACAAATCATTACGACTGAACTGCTGTTTTTAAACAACCCTTGTGTGCAAGGTGTTTGCGATGACAGCGGCAGTGAGTGCCGCATTGAACGCTACAAAGCGCACTACATTGAACACCACATTGAACACTACATTGAACACTACATTAAACACTGCCAAAATCGCGCAAATACCAGCAGTTTCAGCTGCGCTCCTTCTATGAGGTAAAAGAAATAAAACGAGCTTCAACTTCTTTCCAAATTTAGCCGATTTGTAGACAGTGCTGGTTTTTACACGTCAATGTAGTGTTCAATGTATTGTTCAATGAGTGTTCAACGTAGTGTTCAATGTAGTGTTCAATGTAGGGTTCACCAAGACTAGCGTTCAACCCATCGCTGAATGCAGTGTTCTCCCTGTATGCGCTGGAGCCCATGTTTACTTGGCTGGCAAGTTGTGTGACTTTCCTGAGTTGTGTTTGAGTTGTTGGCTGGTCAGCCCATAGCCGCTCATGGGACAAAACAATTTGCTGATAGAGCTAACGTGACAAATCATTACGACTGAACTGTTTTTAAACAACCCTTGCGTGCAAGGCGCTTGCGCCAACCGCGGCAGTGAGCGCCGCATCGAACGCTACAATGCACATTGAACACTCATTGAACACACCACATTGAACACTGCCAAAATCGCGCAAATACCAGCAGTTTCAGCTGCTCCTTCTATGCGGTAAAAGAAATAAAAAAGAGCTTCAACTTCTTTCCAAATTTAGCCGATTTGTAGAAAGTGCTGGTTTTTACACGATTTTGGTAGTGTTCAATGTAGTGTTCAATGCATTGTTCAATGTAGTGTGCAATGTAGTGTTCACTAAGACTAGCGCCCAACCCATCGCTGAAAGCAGTGTTCCCCCTCTATGCGCTGGAGCCCATGTTTACTTGGCTGGCAAGTTGTGCGACTTTCCTGAGTTGTGTTTGAGTTGTTGGCTGGTCAGCCCATAGCCGCCCATGGGACAAAACGATTTGCTGATAGTGCTAACGTGACAAATCATTACTGTTGACGGACGAAATCCTGCACCGCTTTTGTCATGGGGAAACAAACCCTCGCGCTCCCCATTTAACATTGGAAGTTTGACGGCCCTTTTGTCTTTCAGTACGAATACAAACTGTGAAAACATGGCCTATCGATCCTTTAGGTCTGAGAAATATTCAGCTAGAGGTTAACTTGCTTGTGGCAGCCAAGCGTTCATGGCGACGCACCTTTTGTGAATGCCAACAACATTGAAAGGGGGGAGCGGGGTGCGCAGCCTGTTCAGTGGCAAAATGGAGTTGGCCGAGGCGGTGCAGAATTTCGTCCGTCAACCGTAGAGCGGAGATTCCTTCTACGGAAAAGAAGTGGTGATTTGATCACTTTAAGGGGCCGGCCGGCTTTGAGAGGGGGAATTTGACCGGTTTCTGGGGAAATTGGCTGGTTTGTGGCGGCGGTTCCAGGCTCGCTTCAAGGCTGGAGCAGGAACTTTGGCCGCGCGACATGGGGGTTGGGGCGGGGGGTGGAGCTCCCATAGAAGCACCTTGTGAGATCCCTGCATCTTCTTCTTTTCCCTTGACCGATTTTGTCAAACATGTATGCCGAAAAGTCTGATGCCAAGGCCCTATCCGACCTTCGTGCCTATGCCTGGTATCGAGTATCCTGTCACGGTGCAGGACATTCTTGCGCGGGCTTGGCAGAAGGTAGGGGACAGTCCCATCCAAGACGCGGAAATCCACAATTTCATTTCTTTACTATTTAGCTAGACTCCTTTTGGATTGTGACTTGCACGGACCCCTTGCAAATGGAGCCCGGCACCCAAGTTTTGGGGCTAACAACCACAAATTTAGAGGGTCGTGGAGACAGCTGGTATTTGCGAAGTACCACAATCTCATTGGCTATTGTTGTAGAACCACAAGGGTCAACGGCTTTCGAGCACTTAATTATTGGCTTGGTGCGACGCAGCAAGCATTCTGCCTGGCATCTCAGGCCAAGGATTCACTCCGGCATGACGCATGCGGAAAGCCCTTTTTCCGCATTTTCTGGTTAATGGAAGTGCCTAGAACCTATCCAATTCTCCAGCAGGATTCCCGAAGCGCTTTGCAGGAGCCTCCGCCACAGCGAGACCCATTCCTGTATCCAGAGCAGCCGCTCTACCAGCCGCTCGGCAGAGATTCTCGGGTGGAAAAATGGGAAGTTCATGGGAGCTTAGACGAGTTTGCTAACCGAGAGTCGACATTGCTGAGCAAAAGGCAGTCCTCCTAATCAGGAACACCTTCTCAGAGAGTCTTTGCTGTACGCTGGGCACTTGCTTTCCTTCCGTCTGAGGCCGAATGACTGACCATGATATTTGTTTAAACATCTATCAAATTATCAACATTATTAGATTTGAACTACACCCTATATATAGGGTGCTATATAGTACTACGCATCCCCAGCATCACCAACAATTATGTTGGCATAACTATGAATCTAACGATTGATGATCAAAAATCATCCTTAACCATGACGATGATGAGCATTGATGATGTTGATTATGAGATTTAGAATATTAGTATTATTTATATTTATGAGGGGAATAAAACAAAAATCATTGATAGGATTAATTTTATTTTGACGATGATTGACATATTGATAATAAGGAGGATAATAATTATGATGTGTTTGATAATAGTGAATGTTTGGTTATATAGTGGTTTTGTTTTTTTAATTGAATTTTAATAATATTGAATTGAATTTGTCTAATAATAATATATATGAATTATATATATTAATAATTAAATATATAATTATAAATATGGTTGAAACAAATAAAATGTTGAAAATTTATAATTATTTAATTAAAAATTATTTGAAAATTGGAATTTATATTTTATAGGAAAATATATTATTAATGTATTATTGTGTTTAATTTATTTAATTATTAATATATTCGAATATTTTAATTTAAAAATTTAGATTAAATATTATATTAACCTATTTTTAGATATTGGAGTTGGATTTAAAAAATAAAATTATTTAAAAATATAAAAATATTGTTTTTGATATTATTCGAAATAAAGATTTAAGAATGAAATTTATATAATTTAAATGAAATAGATAATTAGTTTATATTTAAATAATATTAAAAATTTATTTACTATATTATAATTAAATTATTAATAAACAATTTATATAAATAGCATATTCTAAATAATTAGATGTATATAAGAGGTTTTGTTATTTAAACACTAACATAAAAATATATGGGTTTTATTTATTTTAAAAAAAATAAAATAAATATAATTTTATTTTGTTTAAATATAATATTATTTTTTTAAAATTAAATTAAAAAAAAATAAAAACTTATATATAATATTAATTATATATTTATATAAATATATATATATATTACAATCAATAAATACTTTATTTATTTTTTTAACATAAATAAAATCTTAATTATTTATATATATTATTAATATATATATTTAAATAAACAAACAATGAATTTAATTAACATTGCCAAATAAAATAAAATATTAAATAATTATATTTAAATAAAAATAACATTTTTAATAATATTTAAATATTTTGGATCGAGATTCTCGATTTTTTTTGTGTATTTGCTTGGGACCTCGTTTTCGGAGCAGATGATATAATCTTCGTGCCTAAAGTGGTGCTGGGTTATGGATAGTCGAGATTTTGTCTCCCGACTCTGTTTTGTCGTTAATATCCTCGAGTATGAAGATTTGGGCTAAATTGTTTATTGTATTATAGATTGCCACTCCTTTTGTGGAAGCAATTATATATACCTATTTAATTCATTTCTAACTATTTAAATAATTTAAAGCAAGGTTAAAATCGGTCAATTAGATATCGATAAAAAATATATATATATATAAATATCAAATTCATATAATTCATAAAACAAAAAACAAACATAATTTAATCTATAATATATAACAAATATATCTTCAAATCCATATCAAATTAGTTCAATATATGTTATATTCTTTCATTAATCAAATTACTATTATCCAATTTATCAAAAATTAATATTTTAAAAAAATAAATAAATCAATATAAATCAATATTTATTTAAATATTATAAACAATTTAAATGTATTCTAAATTTCATTTTAATAAAACCTATTTTTTAAAAAAACATAAAATTATCCAAAAGCAAATCTTAAATAATCCAATTATAATATATTATATATCTATAAAATTCTACCAATTTATATTTACCAAAATAATTTTATATTTGTTTACCTTATCATATTTTCAGAATATTTCCCAATTCGTTCTATAATTAAAATATACATATTTCCAAAAAATCCAACCCCTTACATATTTTCATTAACATAAATAAAATAAATCATTCATATATCAAATTTACAAATAATATCATTTATAATTCATGAATTCAACAAAATGGAATTCATGGTGTAATTACCTTGCAAGACCTGGATAAACACATTTTTTTTGATGCCAGTCCGACAGCGCTTTGACTTCAGCTCCTCTCACTGAAAAACCAGTCATTGATTCATTTCAAATAGCCGACCATGTAGAGACAGCCCATGATGAAGCCAGCCACCCAGGTGAGCTGGCCAGTGTAGTCCGCTGGCCAATCATCCACGTGAATTGGTGCCCGCCCGTGCTTCCATACGACTCGCCGAGCAACCTTTTCAAAGCCTCGATCAAGAATGTCCTGCGCAAGCGCAGGGTTGTCTAAGGCCTCGTCTGCCAGTTTGCAAAGATCGGTGTAGGCGTCACACATTGTCAAAGGAGTGTCGCTCTGCTTGCCGTGCAGTGTGATGCTGTGTCTCAGTGCACCTGGAAAGCCATTTAGAACCTGCAGTCCCCAATAACTTGACACCACCCAGCTGCCGTACTTCATCATGCAACGCTCTCCGTCCAAATGCAATGCCTTCACCTGGTCGTCGGGGATCGCTTTCGTGCCAGTCGTCTCCTCCAAGTATGCACGCACAAAGCAGGATCGAACCTCTTTTGGCACAAAGATCGAGAAGGCATACGAGATGTCTGCCACAGCGTACCCAGAGGATGTGGTCTCAAAATCAATAAGCTGCAAGCCATCTTCGGTGTACAGAATGTTGGATGGCATGAAGTCGCCATGCACGGTTACTATTCGCGAACCGAACTCTGAGACTGGGTTTGCGCCAGCTTCCAAGTACAACTTCAAAGCCTGCTCACCCAGGGCAAGGTCTGCCTCCCTGCCGAATTGGTGCCGCTTGTTGTGGAAGCTCTGGTCGCACCAAAGGTGCGAAGAAGCAGGCACATCCTGAGCCATGGTTGAATCTCAAACCTTGGAATATGGATTTGTTCCACAATTTCCTGCTGTGAAAGGGCAACCATTTCTATTGGGTGATTTGTGTTTTTCGTTTTCGGTCGGGCCAATAAAATGTCGTATTACACTAGCCCGTCAACATCCCCAGCATTTTTTTCAACGTCCGACCAACATCCCTAGCATCACCAACAAATCGCGGGTAACAAAATCAAACAAGTAGCTGGCGGGTTGATGGGGTCAACAAAAATGATGATTCAATCCCTGTAAGAATGATCTAAAAAGTAGCGAGGGGGGTGGGGGGTACCGCCCCCCCCAAGATGTTCGAAGACTTGATGATTCAACTAGGAGTGCAATCAAATAAAACGTAGCGGGAGGGAAGTAGGGGTGCAATGATTCAAGAAAGGGTGCGATAGAATTTAAAAGGCAGCGGGAGGGTTGGCGGGGGTTGCTTCCCCTATGATGTTGGAAGAAGTGCATACAGACATACATGGATTACACAGATTACCTAAAATGTCGTATTTTGCAGCACTTTCTCGCGAAATTGGACGCTCGAAAAAATGATGATTCAAATAGGGGTGCAATTCAATCTCTGCAAGCAATCTAAAAAGTAGCTGAGGGGAGGCGGCAGCCCCCCATGATGTTTGAAGAAGTGTTGATTCAAACAGGGCTGCAATTACTCTTAACAGTAGTGGGTGGGTTGGGGGGGGGGGCTTCCCCCCCCATGATGTTCGAAGAAGTGATGATTCAATGGAACCCTTCCAGACGGAGCTGATTATGATGATTCATATAGGGAGGAACTGGTGACGCTGATGATGCGGGAAGCCAATCCAAAAACCAAAAAAGGGTGCACAAGCCAAAAAGCCCGGAGAGGAACTGGGAAAGCAGAGGATGCGAAAAGCCAAAGCCGCATAAACCAGCGAAAAGCCGCAAAAGCCAAAACACCACCTGCCGAAGAGGAACTGGGAATGCAGAGGATGCGAAAAACCAAAACCGAAAAGCCACCAAAAGAAGCCGCATAAACCGAAAAACACAGAAGCCGAGAAGCCAAAAAGCCAAGAAGCCAAGAAGCCAAGAAGCCAAGAAGCCAAAAAGCCAACAATTCAAAAGCGAAAAAAGCATCAAACAAATCCTAAAATAGATACCCCTCCTTTCTATTTTTAACAACCGCATACCCAGCATCCTTGAGCTCTGGATGCTGCTTCTTCAGGATGGCCATGTGCTCCTCAAACCATGACGGCTCGACGCTGTGCAGCCGGGCCAAAAGCCTTGCGCGGTTTCTCAGGTTTAGCGCGCAGGGTCGGCAAAGGCTGATTCAGGCTGTGCTTTGTTGATGGTCGACTGAGGGTTGAGGGCTGGGGTTTGGGCTTGATTTGCACGTGGTTGCAGGAGTGGTGCAGGATTTCGATCAGACTGCGGCACTTGCGAAATAGAAATCAGCCCGCCTCCCACACTTGTCGATAAATTCCCGGTCTGAGGCCAAAGCTTTCCAGTTGCTTGCGTCCGCCTTCCCGGCCGCACCCTTGCTGGCCCAAAGCTCCAGCCAGAAGTTCTTGTTGCTGGCCAAGCGTTTGGGAGCCAAGCCTTGCAGGGTTGCCCTAGGTCCGCTGCCAAACTGCCAAGGAGAAACAGAACACACAGAACACAACACCTCGTGCCTTTGAGGCACCCCTGCCTTTGGAAGCCAACAGGTCTTGAATGGCCTCTTGCCGGTGCATCTCCGCTTCGTCAGCCTTGCCTTCCGCCCGCTGCAAATGAATGCAAATTGGAGGAATGCCCTCCTTCGCCTCAAGCTTGTAAGCCGCTCCATCGCCAAGTTCTTCTTTGATCTGGAAGCTCTCGCCTGGACAACTATGCCAAGGCTCCGGCAGCGCCTGGCACATTTGGCCTGCAACGTACAGCGCCTCGATGCCGGCATCGTAGCCTTTCTGATACACGCACACGAGCTCTGGGCTGGCCGAGGGCGACAACGAGCCATTCTCGTTGACGAGCCACTTGGTGCAGCGCCAGATCAAGAACTTACCGCGGGTGGCCTTGGCGTCGAACACCACCACTTTTCCGGGGAGCAGCAGATTTCTGTCCACCTTCAGAAACTTCTCGGTGCCGGCCAGCTGCACGGCGCCATCCTCCGCACAGCACACCTGCCAAGGCTCACAGAACTCTGTGACCTCGCAGGCACAAGAAGGACCTCCAGCTCGGAGGCCTGGGAAGGTCACAACGCTTTCCTTCTGGATGCGGTCACGATGCGCAAGGCACAAAATGGGCACCGCCATGACGGTTCCGTTGCCCCTAAAACCTGCGACGTTTGCGCAGGTTGCGAAGACAAATGATGGGACAAAACAAAAGGCAAAATATGGCAAAATGAACTCAATGGCAGCGCACGAATCCATCATGCTTTATGTCTTCGCCCGCGAGTTTTTAGGAACTATCACAATGGCCAATGTGGAAATGCTGCTCAAGGTTCCAAATGGTATTCTTTGAACGGCACCAGTCTTTTTCCTTAGCTTCATGAGATGGACAAACGGATGAATGGATGGAAGCAAGTGCCTTGGCAAAAGATCCACTTCTGGAAGGATAAGCAAGGCCACGAGGCTATACCCACTTGGCCACTTGGCCCGCTTGTGTGTTTCTTTTGGGGACAGTGGGCCACGTGGATTGGAGGGTGGGCTGCCAGGTGCATGGCTGGATGGCTGAATGGCTGGATGTGCGTTGCATCGTTTGAGTCGGTTTGAAGTCTGGAGGGGTGGGCAATTTCCCTTCGGCCAGCTTCACTTGCAAAACAAATGGCTTGGGCTCGGGTTCCTGTCTTGCATTCGCAAATCTCCCTTGCGCTCACTTTTTGCCGCAGACATGCGCTCATAGCGTAGACAAACATAACTTCAGGCCTCAGCCTATCGCAACATACACCTCCTGGAGCCTCAGCGGATCCTTAAAGTGGGCCTGTCGCACTCGGCACGCGACTCTGAAGCTCAGCCGCACCCTTGCAACGTGGCTGGCACCCTCGTTGCTGGCCTCCAACTTGTCTTTCTTCTGCTTTGTCTTGCATAGCGACATCAGCTCCTCAGGGGACACTGATTTCGGCTTGAGCCGCGCAGTCACGATATCTGACATTCGAGGTCCTCCTTCTTCATTATCTCGCCAATCCTTGCACTTTGACCAAGGCCAACGGAACCTGCATGGGTAAGATCACAGCCTGCAAACTAGCAGCAGGAACACCGCCTCTGACCACATACCTCTTCTCCATTGAGGACTTCTCAATTGAGGGCTTCTCAATTGAGGGCTCCTCCCTTCTTGCTGATGGTCTTTTCAAAATGCTGACAGGCCTTCGCAGGGACTGCAGAAAACTGGAAGTCTTCAAAAGGCGTCCGTGCCTGTCAGCTTCAACTTCCTTGGCTTCTCACTTTCTAGCATGCTTCCATAGACCATGCTCTTAACCGTGGTGATTGACCGATCGGGCCCCAACGCACGCAAAGCGTTTGCATGCCAGCAAGTCAAGCAGCTTTCTTTGACTTGCTTTCATCTGGCGCTTTGCTCTTGCTTGAAGGGCCTGTTGCATGGTGCTTCCCATCCTGACAAGAAACCAGGCCAGCACAAGAAGCTGCTTGATATTTGCGCAGTGCAGGCTTCAAAGGCTCCCTAAAGTCTACGGATGTGTGACTACGGTCAGCCGCGGGCAGGTGCAACCTCTGGCAACTTGGCGGGGTCACCTCAGACCAGCGAGTCACTGAAGATGCCCAGCAAGCCTTCTTGCGCTGAGCGTCCGAATAGGTGTTTAAGGGCGTTGAGCTTCGAGGCATCATGGCCACATTTCGCAATCAGCTCCTCGCAGGCTTCAGACAAGCAGCGAGAACTAGCGAATTCTGCTCCCGAAGTCCTCTTCACAGTAGGTCTTGCCAATCTTGAGGTTCAGCCCGAGATGGAGAAAGGATTTCACCTTGGCAACATTTTAGAAGCATCTTTTTCCCTGTCGAAAGCACAGAAGTGCGCTGCCTTGAAGTGCCTGCTCTTCGCAGCTGCTTTGGCGGCTGTTTTCAGCTGGCTTGCTTTGGCTTTAGGTGCAGAGCCCTGCGCCGCAGGCTTGCGAAGCACCATGGCTACCAACAAAGCTTGGTGTGGGCTGTGCTTGTACTGCCATTGATTCCTGAGTGCTTTCTGTTGGCCAGTCGGTTCGCCTTTGACCTGAAGAGCCCCTGAAGAGCCCCTCAAGAGCCCCTGAAGAGCCCGTCGCGCACATTCCCAGAAGCCCGTTGCACTGCTCGCATCACACTACCACTGCTTCGGAAGCCCTTTAACTATGCTCTATCAATGATGCGTTGAATTTACAGGCTCAAACGCTCAATGCATTGGGCTGCTTTGCTTGCTGCCAGCCCAACTTCTTAGCATCCCGCGATTTTGAACGCTTTCTGTTCCGCCCGCGCTTCAGGTACGTGCACGTGCCAAAATATTCCAAAAGGCTGATTGACTGCGCGCTTGCACTTTGCAAGCCACAAGAAGCCACAAACGGTGAAACAGCTGCAGGGTGCAAGCTGGAAAAAAAACAGGGTGCATCGACACGTTTATGGTCCTATGGTCTAGACGTGTTGGATGCGCTCTACGCTTCGCGCATGTCTCCAAGAAAAGTTGAGCCTCCTCTAGCTATGAATCAATGAATTCACCCGTTTGTCGGGGACTTCCAATTCGCATGCGAGTTCACTCAATAGCAAAGAAGACCAGCTTGCTGGCATCAAGCATCTTCTCCTGCAGGAATCTTTGTTGATCAAAGCAATCTCTGGGCAATGTCTGCATCCAGAATAATGCCAATGTCATTGGCTGCACCCCACGCTGACCCGTCCCTGAAGCAAACAAAGTCAGCCCAGGAGTTCAGGATCTCAATCACCTTCGTGAAGGTGCCAGTCACACTCCATGCGAGCGTCATCTCAGCGAGGCCTTCCTCGCATCGCCTTTGTTTGCGGCACCTGACCGATTGAAAATGCATCAGGCACCAAGTCATTTGTGATTTGTGGTTGAGGACGGGGCCGGATTGAATGAAGTCCTCGAGCTCTGGGATGAACGTGTGCATGCCTCTGCACGAACAATCCCAGGATCCAAATTCTTTCAATGTTTGCTAAAAGCAGTGATGCGGTGCATTGGCAATCATGCCCCTGATTGCTCAAATGCCTTTGGTATGCTGAGCAATTTTTCCGTGAAGCCTCTGAGCTGGCAATGTCTGGGAACTTCGCATGCCACAAAAAGCCAGAGAGACACATCTCAGGCAGAGGCTGAAGTCGGGAATCACTTGCGCCATTCTTCCCTGCAATGTACTTGAGTCGCAATCAAAACCTGGTACTAAAATGGTCTACCCAGAACAATGCACAAGAAGGCGGCCGCAGCTATTTCTGGTTGGGATCGTCCCTTACTAACCTTCATCTAGCCGGGTTTTGATTGTGGCTCACTTGGGGGGCTGTGGCATGCTGGGCTACCACACCCGGTTCCAGCCTCGATCCACATTTCGATCAGTTGAATGTACTGACCTGGGCAGGCATTTGCCCTCGTATCCGGCATGACCCTCCCCACAAACCAATCTTTATGGGTCCCGCTTGCCCAGGTTGGTAACGTGGAACCTTTTTCTGAGTCTCCAGACTATGAATGGTCGTGTAGCTCAGCTTGTTCTCCTCCTGACCCACTTGCCAGTCAAACATGGACAGCAAATACACGCGCGCACCGCACATAGTCCCAAGTCTTGACAGTTGGGTGACATTTTTGTGCTGGCCAGCCGTCCAATGCAAGTCTCTGCATTAATGGGTTGGGCTATCGGGGCTGGCTGCCTATGGCAGCAGCTGTCGAGTCAAGTGCGGCACTGATAGCAACAAGTTGCAAAGCTGAAGTTGCAGGAACATCTGCTGCAGCCCTCACACTGCACCATGCTGCACTCGGTGGATTCCAATGTGGCTGTCAGCTTCCTTTGGAAGCAACCTCTGCAGCTCCCACTGGTACATTAAACAAAGTGGCTGCCAAGACTCCGTTGAAAGACCTGGTGCCTCCCAAACAAATCCTGATTTGAAATCAAACAAGCACCACCAAAGCAAAATGCGGTGCGATTCCTGGCATGCTTGTCGCGGATGGCTGCTTGAATCACTGGAAAAGTGCTGGAACAAGGTCAGCTAGCTCTTGGTGAATTCCCCCTCAATGAATACTGGTCGTGCATACGCCACAGTACAGTGGTCAGTGTTGCGAGCTAGCTGGCCAAACGACACATTTTTATTCTGGTCAACACACGGTCAGAAGTATATGCACACATCATACCAACGTAATCAGGAGCATCCAACCTTAGTGCTTGTACAGTTGGTAGTTGGCGAATGCGTGCGCATGCGCCTCAGGCAAGGGCCAAAAGCTTTGCTTGCCCCGGCCGATGGTCCCGCGATGATGTTTTGGAAGTGGCACGCTGTCCACATGGATCACCTTTAGGTCCTCAAACATGTCATCATGTAAAAGGATTCAGGATGCTTTGGTCTTTTGGGTGCGTGGGGAACCTTCCCATGCGAGTGGCGTTGCCAGTCCTGCCGCAGTCAACGGCGGCACTGTTCGTGGTCTCGCTCGGGCCTGCGACAAGGGGTCATCCATGTCCTCCACGTCTGACGCGTCATCTCTGTCGCTCGGTTTGCACCGAACAGCTGATGAAGGTCTTGGAGAACGCGGGAGCTTCCTTGGGAAGGAAGGCGCCTGGGGCAGGATGGCCTCAGTGGCAGGCTCAACTCAGATTGTGGTGCCCGTTCACGCCATGGATTGTTTGGATGCAGGTCACACCCCAGCAAAATCCAAAAGCTCATGTCACAATTAGACTGCTACCAAGCTGCAAGATCATCCACGTCCACATCTGACGCCTCTTCGGGGTTCTGTGATCTTACGGAGGGGCTGGGCGAGACTGCTCGAATAATGAGCGCTGACCCGGCTGACCCAGGTGGCAACGGCTTCGAAGCAGCTCTGGCCTCCGACCACGACACCTCCGGAGCTGAAGCCCGCCGCTTGGAGTTGAGACGGGACGCGGGTGGCAGCAGCTCATTGCGGTCGGGCTGGGAGGGCGTCTTTGACGGCCTCCGCGTGTCCAACGGCAACTCCATCGTGGTAGCGACAAGCGACGGTGATGGAGACGGGGATTTGGAAGGACGTCGCGACTCGACTATTAGATCTCTCGAAGAGCGAGCACTGCTCGGCACTCCCGGGCTTGGCAGCGCAGTGCTTGGCATACTAGGAATGCCCGGCGGGCCAGAAGCCTCTGCGATGTTTGGCATACTGTGGCGCTTTGTAGGCGCATCGCTGGCAGCCGAGTCTGCTGACAGCACGTACACTGGAGGGGCCATGCTTGCCACATGCTCTTGTGGCCGCCGGAATCTGCGAGCTTGTCGGTCGATGCTGTCGGCCCACAAGCGCCCAAATACACCTTGGCATTGTACATTTAGAAATCGGCACTGAACTCCGCATCGCACACATGGCTCCCACATGTTGAAAGAAGAACCTGCCTGTGACTTCAGTGACGAGGGTGGAGGATTTCAGCCCCTCCATTTTCAGCAAGCCTGAGTTGCACGTTGCGCCACCGACATTCGACCCTCCAGTGGCATAACTGGGAAGCTTAACTTTGTCCTTGGCCTCACATCGACATTGGACATCAAAGCTGCAGCTTGGCGACATCTCTGGAGCTGCTCATCAGACTGAAGGGCTGGCGAGCTTTTCAGCGCTGCCTCTGCCATCTGAACCTGGTGGCCCGAGCCTGTGCTGCCTGTGCTGCCTGTGCTGCCTGTGCTGCCTGTGCTGCCTGTGCTGCCTGTACTGCCTGTGCTTTGAACGCATCACGCGTTAAGAATGTGCGGTCTGGGCCTGGTCACTCATCATGGCGACTGCTGCACGCGTTTGCGCCATCTCTTCCACACTGGACTTCAAAGCGTTGGCCACGCAAGTGGTGACTTCACACATTCCATCCAGCTCTTCGTGAAGCTCCTGAAAGCGGAGCTGGGGGTTGACCGGTTGACCGGCTCACCCAACTCCGAGGTGTTGCCATGCAATTTGGAAATGAATGCTGCATGTCTATGCATCTTTTTTGGAAGAGTCTGGGTTTCAGTGGGCTGTCGCAGGCGCCTGTGCGGCAAGAGCTGCCTCCCGTGCAGATGCAGCGGCAGAAGAACTCGGGCTTGGGAAGCCTCCTTCATAGCTTCCATCGCCTCCACCTCGCATTTGTGTGGTGTTGATGTCTCAAGGCGTCCATTTCAAATGTTTGTGAACGTACAGCTATCTTGGGCTCCTGCTCTCTGAAGGGTGTGCGCCTCCTTCTAGTGACAAATGCAGGGCTGTGGTCAGTGTGCGGAGCTTCTGCAATCGGCCCTGGCACAGGTTGGTGCACTGAGAGTAGTAGATCAACTCAACTTGAACTTTGTCCCTCCAGCTTCGCACATTTCTCATACTTGGCGCCTGCATCGTGGTAACAGCTGAAGCTGCTCGATCACCTGCATCTAGGGCCAACGCTGCCATTCGGCGTGACTGCCTGGGCTCCGCGCCCAGCTTCTCCCTGTCCTGCCAAGTGTCGAGTCGCAGCTCGCCTTTGCCGTGACGACTCTGCCGTGGCCTCATGTCTTGAAGCTTGTGCATGGTTGGCGCCCTGTGCGCTGCTGTCCTGGAGGGCTTGTCGCCCCTGGAAAAGATCGTCTCGAGGGCATCAGAGCAAAACAAGCACAGACACACACACACACACACACCCAGACTCGCGGGTTGTTGTAAATGTTTCCTCCTCCTGGCCTGTTTTACTTTAAAGCACTATCAACACGCTCTTGCTTCCAAAGTTGTGAGCTCTGCTTCTCAGCACTGCCGGGTACAAATTCAGCGGGCAGGAGCGTGCGAGAGGCAGGCACTGAGCATGCGTACTTTAGCTGTGGTTGCCGGGGGGCAAATCCGCCGACATTGCTCGGCGTGTCGGATACTTACTAGAGGATAACCCCCCCCCTAACCCCCCCCCGCCCGACGTCTATTACGTAGGTTTTTTGGGGGGGGGGGTCCCCCACGTACCGCGCGGCAATTTGATGACGTTCCACTAAACGTAGTCTTCGGGGAGCCGGTGTCGCAAAACAGGGGTCCCAGGCTCGATTCCCCCTGCCGGCTTTTTTGCTGGCTTGGGCTTCCTGCATCCTTTTGCCGAAAATCTGGAAAAACTCAATGTTTTTGGACGTCCTCTTTGCGAAAACGCTGGAAAAACCGTGTTTTTTTGCGGGAAATACTGGGGAGCAAAGGGGAAGTGCAAGGATACATACATACATACATACATACATACATTACAGTACATTACATTACATTGACATTACATGACATTACATACATACATACATTACATACATACATACATGCATACATGTATGTATGCATGCATGCATGCATGCATGCATGCACACATACATACATACGTACATACATTACATGCATTACATTACTTACTTACTTACTT